GGTCAACTGTAAACCGAAAATAACAACTTATGTTTCCAAGGTCGCCTCATATTTGACCTGAGATTAAGTTTAATATAGTAGTCACCGATTGCATGACCTGATAAAATTATTTCTCTCTTTATTTAATCGACCACGAACTGCTAGTCATGCTGTCACTGCAAAATCGTGCGTAATTAAAGTATATTTATTTTGTTGGACACAAACTCAATTCAAGTTTAGTTAATCTGAAAGCCTTAGCTCGAAAAGAGAAGCAACGCAAAAGAAACCTTGTGTTGCAACTTCAAATAGAGTTTTGTCTGCAAATTCAAATATATGTCGGTATGAATATATTGTTTAATCAGACTGGAATTTTGATCATTTTATGTCCACTATAAAAATAAAAAAACAACTTGGAATTAATTACTATTGACGATAGGGAAGAAAATTTTAATTATACCCCGCAAGGGTTCCAATAAACTATAATTATAATTCCACGCTTCATCGTTGTTTAAAAATTAAAACTCATTTACATCGATTATGTCATAATCCAAAGTTTTGTCAAACCTGTCAGCGTTCATGACCTTATCGTGAAATTGATCTTTATCAGCGGCCCAAACTTGGATTTATAATAAAGTAAAATGTAAATTTACATCATAGCAATAAATTGAGCCGCAAGCCATGATGACTTGCATATATTATATAAATTAATTAACGTCATATTATTGCAAGCGATTGAATGGAAAAACATCCGCTGTTATTGTTTGCATTCTTCTCTATACGTTTTTGTAGGAAACAAGAAGTGCAGTATTACGATATGCTGCAATTCAACTATTAGTATGAAATTACCACTATTTATTATATATCGACTGGTTTTTAAAGTGATATTTATCACTCCATACACTAGGTCAGCATTGAAACTTATAAAATGCTTTCGCGCTGGTTATTTACATTATATTTTCCATGCCTTAAAATTGTCGTTAGAGAGACCAGACTTCGAAATCTCAAACGTGGATTCCACGTCTGCTTTTAAAGCAAAGTATTCTAGATAGAAAACTACAACTAAACGGCAATTTAGAAGCTTTTATAAAATAGGTGCACGACTACATTATTTGATATGCAAAGTATAAAAAATATTCTGAAATATACGTGTATCAATATGCCAGCAAATTTCACCGTAGTCTCTTCGCAAAGGAAAGTAAATTAATACTTAGCAAAAAGCCAACAAGGACAACAGAAACTGCGAATCATGCCTACCAGAACATATATGTCCCCGGGCATTTTAGATAGATGACTTGCTAAATTTAACTTTCGTTTCCAAATATCTACATTTATTGTAATTCATTTTCCACGCCTTTTTTAAAGGTAAAAAAAGTTTGAAAAAATGAGAAATAGATTAGCAGAATTTGGGTAGATTAATGTCGGGCACTTTAATCTGTGTGTTGGATATTTTAGAGAAGTATCTATTGTTTGTATGTACTTCAAAATTGTAAGCAAAGTCAGCGTTGTACCAAACACACAGAATGAAGCTTCAGTTCGCAATTTATTTTTCTAGAAATTCACACTTTACTTGGTCATGCCGCCTGACTTAAAACAACTTTTACTGTCACTGTACTTACGGTCTTGGTAACAAGGTACGACGAAACAGTATGTTAATGCATATGTGTTGATGTACATCAGGATGAAAGGCCATAGCATAGGAGAGTGGAGATTGGATGTTAGTTGTGCGTATCCCACCCGATTTCGACAGCAAAACTGGTTAGTTATGGTTGTAATAAACATAACATAAACCAAGTCTGGATATGAATGAATGCAGAAATTATTCCCGAGAATTAACGCTTAACAAGATCGTAAAAGGATTAAAATTAATTGCGGGGAATCATCTCTGGTTCTAATGTCATTATACATCAGTGTTTAAGATTCTCGTTTCCTAAACTCGAGTCACATTTTTGAAGACCCAAATTGTTTTCTAAAAAAACTAGTCACCTAAATTAGCACTTGACTAAACACCATATAGACTTTTACACTTGGAAGATATTTTAAGAGATTCTTCGTAATATCAAAAATGTCGCATTGACAGAAATTGAAAAATCACCACTTTGTTAGCACGAATTGATGCCAAAGTAAAGGTTGTCAGCGCCTAATCAGATTCTAGTTTGATCTTTAAAATAACGTTGGTTGAACTCCTAGGGCGCGTCAAGAAGGGCCATATGGGTAGCCACGCCGGTGGAACGTTATACGAGTGAGTTCATTGTTTAGTTTGATGACATAAATGATAAGAACGATACAAACATTGAGATCATATTTTACCTTTATTTATTAATTCTCATGCTGAAAATATCTATAATTTGTTTATACGCATAATTATTTTTGAAGCTAGTTATGGCATCATTATCAGAAACTCGCTCCGGCGGCAGGAAAGTTTAAAACGCATCTAATTGTATTCTAAACTAATCAGGCTGGGCCTTCAATTATCCGGCACATAAATCTTGGTTTTAAAATCTAGAATTGGATTGCATCAGAAACTCGACCCTGGCAGCAGACAAGTGTGACACTCCCCTGTTTAACACTACATGGAAGTTTAACAACAAAATAACATTGAACTTCGTGCATGCGGTTAATTGTATTTCCTGGTTTACATAATTCAGTTCGTCGATCGACGTATTGGTCATGTAATTAGTTTTTATAACAGCTTGCGCCGATAAGATCAATTCCAATTACGTATGCAGCACTAAATTCAATAACATCTCATTATAATGTGAAGAAGTCAGTGCACTGCAAAGTACCTCAAGGCGTATCTTTACAGCAGTCCATGGCAAAAGTACCGAAAGATAGAAAAACATAAAGGGATTTTGTTATTAATCTTATTTTATGATTTGGGTTGCTTCATATTTATATGCCCGTTACAGCCTAGTTGTATACGGTGAAGCGAGCAAGTGCTTGACGAGGTAGTTTTATTTTTAACACAGAATGCCGTAAAAAATAAAGAGAAACGTCCCCGTTTGTCTGATTTATTTGCCGGCATATATTGTACGTTTTGTCTTAGATACTTTATTATAACCGTCCATTCAAGTACTTTCATCAAACATGTGTTCTCGCACTAGTTTAGACCAAGCAGATACAAAAATTTTAGAAATTAATATAATTCTCTGGTTATCTATCTATAAATTGATCCGTAGTGCATTGATTTGATTTCTGATATATGTATGGCTTCAATTTTGTCAAATCCATTTAAAACCCTAATTTGTTATCGCTAGGCATGGATAAATAAATGTTCATGCATATTCATGTGCTAATCAGAATTTTATTTTAGCATGGAGAGAGTATAATTATGAAAAAACGTGTCCATGCATTCGCGTTTAGATAAAACGTATGTTGAATAAAATTAACATTTGAACGCTTTCATTTTTTTTTTATTCAGCGCTTTTTATTGAACAACGATATTCTCATAATGCTTTTGAATACTTTAATAACACAGAGACATTTAACTCGATAATATAGAAGCATAACCTTCACAGCGGTAATTCGAGACACTCGTCTACATTTTTTTAAGCGCGATGAAAATTTTTTTGCTGTTGATAAATTCGATAAATTTAGCCCGCAGCATTGGTAGAGTAAATTCTTATAAGCAATGTTAACGTTTGACTTAGCTATTAAGCCTGGTGTTGCTGCTAGCGGTAACGAGTGATAGAACATATAGAGAGAACATGCTCAGAGCCATATGTGTAGATAATATACAGGGTGTAAAGTCCCTTTACAATTTGAATTTTGTTATGAAGACAGTTCTCGATATACCTTAACCAGGTTTGTTGTATTTCAATCAGTAATTGTTCAAATACATTTATTTCATTTAATACAATTGTGAGGGTCAAGGCAATATATGTATATATCTTTAATTTCACTTTCAATTTAAAAAAGATTTAATATTTCATGGACATCCATATACTTGTTGGTAATCTACTGCAAATAAGATAGAGTTCATTTAAACATAAAGATTTGGCGTTGGTTAACATCATCGACGTCTTGAAATACAAAGCCCATAACATGTGGTTGAGTGTTAACATAAGAGCTGCTTGTATCATTACAAAAATTGAAAGCAAGGCTAATGCAGATTTCAAAAGTGCCTGCGATTTTCAAACTGGTTTAAGTTTTCTAATTTACTCTCAACATATGAGCGCTCTAGATATAGATGTGAATTCATACTTCAGGCAGTTTAAGAATTAGACAATGGTGACTACCTCAAATTAAAAGCAGAAAGATATCGACCGACACCAAATCCGTCGCCGCAATACGGCTAAATCGAACCAAGAAGCCTAGTTTTTTTCATAAATAAACATAATTGCATAATATATTAGAAAACATTGTTAATTAAACCCCATTCCAATCGGTTGTGTAACTTAGTGCACACTCAATGGCAATTTGTTGTCGTGTTACGTTATTTTCAAAAGCACGTCAGTTTCGAAATTGCAATGGATAATGGGTAATCGAGAATTTCCCTTTATATGGAACAGCAATTACTTCCTGAAATAGATTATAAACGATGTTTAAATTAGCTAATCTAAATCTCGACTTCGAATAGATGGTTTCGGGTCTAGTGCAGTTGTCAAAAAATCACAAGTCGTCTTATATCGCACGTGATGTGATGTCTGTGAAAGAACTCCTTCAAAAAGATAGTTTCAGGCAAGATTGTAATTATCCATCAAATAAAATTAACTTACCTGACCAGACGACATGACAAGAAATCATGTGACAACTCAATATCAATATTTAGTTATGAGCGATAATGACAGCCATTGCAATTTGTGTCTAATTGTGACGATTGAAAACTGGGCTTTGGGCTTGTGAGACTTGGAGACTCATCTGGAAGTTATTATCTCTCAACCCTTTGCTATATCCATAAATAAAAGCATTGTGATGTTTTAAAAATATGAAACACCGACTCAATCTATTCTATTTTAAACTTGATAACCATAATATTTCACGCAAAGAATTGTTGATAACGCGTAACCGATTATTTTTCACAGTTGAAATTGAGAAGTCTGGTCCATAATGACAAAGGCTTCTGCATTTATTGCCCTTGTAGCTTTAGCGGTTTCTGTTGGCGGACAACAAACATATCCATGGGTTAACGACTTTATTGCTTGCGTTGCAAAAATGCCAATTTTTGATGAAGAACCTATATTGTTGGAGTCTGGAACGTATATGGTTGGAGCAGATAAAACAGAGTTTAGATCTGGAGAAATGATGACATGTGAGTATTTGTGAATGGGTTGCAATGCTTACAAATGTAAAGTTGTCGTTGCTATACAGGGTGTACTGAAAGTCCATTTTGTAAAGAAGTCCGTTATCAATATATCATAATGAGGTTCATGTATTTTTATTCCATTTAACACATGTGAGAGGGACAAAATATTTTATGTTATCGATATATCCCTCTACAGTTTTAAAAAAAAATTCAAGACTTTAATGACACCCTTCAATTTAAGAGAGCATTAGAGATGTGGAGAATGCATTCAATGCTTATGAATCGCATGTTACATTACGTTCTAACTTTCTTCACACTTTTTTCAGTCTTCGTTGACGGCAAGGAACCGACCGAAAAATTCCGTGGACTTTTCATATCGGTAAATATCTGTTATGGTTCATCCATACTGTCAAATAATCGAAATAATCAATTGCCTAATTTCACCTTAGGTTTTGGAAAATGGTCGAGCAGTCGGCGAATGGATGCCTTCCAATAAGTTCATGATGAGAGGCTGCGATGGAGCACAGAATAGTGCTATGACGGAAAGAAATACAGAAGAAAAGTTTGTCAAGAATGACATGCTCAAATGGAAAGCCCCAAATTGCAAAGAGGATAAGAATTATAAAATAAGGTATTGCAATTCCATTCAACCCTTATGTCCTACTCATAGGCCAAGCACCTTGGAGCAAAAAGAAAACAATATTTAGGCGTCGGCATTCGCCGAATTGTCCTCCGTGTAAAATATTTGTCAGTATACGTATTCACGCCTTACTATTCTCATTCACACTGTTTTAAAGTTAGGTATTAAACTTAACATATATTAAAAAGATGTCAGAAAAATACATAATGTGACAAAGTCACCAAACCTAAACAGAGTTAATATGCCGATGATATTCAACAGAGTTAATATGCTGATGATATTCCATTTACAGCGTTATATTCAATTTTACAGCGCAACAGTAATCAAAAGCTCAAATATCTTTGAACGTGGAATCACAATGAACCTTAAATGCATGGCTTCAAAGCCGGTTCCTATGTCAAAACAAGAAGATTTATCGGAATCGAAGCACAAGCCAGCGCCTGAATTTAAAGCGGTAGGAGAACCCAAACCCGAAGGCGAACAGGCTGATAAATATCGTGAAAACAAGCCAGAACCGGAATCAAAACCGGAAGGAGATCCGAAACCCGAAGGCGAACATGATGATAAATACAATAAAAACAAGCCAGAACCGGAGTCAAAACCGGAAGGAGAGCCTACACCCGAAGGCGAACATGATGATAAATACAATAAAAACAAGCTAGAACAGAAGTCAAAACCGGAAGATGAGCCTAAACCCGAAGGCGAACATGATGATAAATATCGTAAGAACAAGCCAGAGCCGGAGTCCAATCCAGAAGGAGAGCCCAGACCTGAAGGCGAACATGCTGATAAATACAATAAAAACAAGCCAGAACCGGAGTCCAATCCAGAAGGAGAGCCCAAACCCGAAGAAGAACATGCTGGTAAATACAATAAAAACAAGCCAGAACCAGAGTCCAATCCAGAAGGAGAGCCCAAACCCGAAGAAGAACATGCTGATAAATACAATAAAAACAAGCCAGAACCGGAGTCCAATCCAGAAGGAGAGCCCAAACCCGAAGAAGAACATGCTGGTAAATACAATAAAAATAGGCCAGAACCGGAGTCCAATCCAGAAGGAGAGCTCAAACCTGAAGGCAAACATGATGATAAATACAATAAAAACAAGCCAGAACCGGAGTCAAAACCAGAAGGAGAGCCCAAACCCGAAGGCGAACATGAAGCTAAATATCGTAAGAACAAGCCAGAACCGGATTACAATCCAGAAGGAGAGCCCAATCCCGAAGGCGGACATGCTGATAAATATCGTAAGAACAAGCCAGAACCGGAGTCAAAACCGGAAGGAGAGCCCAAACCCGAAGGCGAACATGATGCTAAATATCGTAAGAATAAGCAAGAACTGGAGTCAAAACCGGAAGGAGAACCCAAACCCGAAGGCGAACATGCGGATAAATATCGTAAGAACAAGCCAGAGCCGGAGTCCAATCCAGAAAGAGAGCCCAAACCCGAGAGCGAACATGCTGGTAAATACAATAAAAACAAAACAGAACCGGAGTCAAAACCAGAAGGAGAGCCCAAACCTGAAGGCGAACATGCTGATAAATATAATAAAAACAAGCCAGAACCGGAGGGAACTAAACCAGAAAAAATGCCAACTCCTGAACGAAGTACCGGATTTGATGGTATTCTTTTTGGTGAGGACGAAGACATAATTTTTGGTGGAGGTTTCAATTTGTTTCCCGGACGCACACCATCTGGAGAGCCTACCTCAAAACCCAAACCTGAAGATAGCGATGGAGAATGGCTATTGGATGGAGATGGGTATGAAAAAAATGTTGAACCTGAAGGAGAGCCGAAACCAAAAGGTGAAAATTGGGATGAAACAGATGAAGAATATACAATAAAGAAAACCATGACAAATCCTACAGCAGAAAAAAGTATGGTTCCCGAAATGGGGTTATTATTTCCCGATGACGAAGAAGAAGGGCTTCTTTTTGGAGATGAATCACTTATTCCAAAAATGCAACCATTTGCAAAAATGACACATACGGGGGAACCTGCTTTAGATACTAATTTTGGATTAGATAATGATGATGATGATGATGATGATGATGATGATTGGCTGCTTGGGGATTGGTATAATGTAGCTCCGAGTTCGGAAGGCGAACCAAAGCCAGAGGAAGAACCCAAGTCTAAAGGAGAGGACTGGGCCGAACACGATGGTGGCGGATATGACAAAAAAGGCAAATCTAAGCCAGAACCCGAAAAACAATCCAAGTCTGTTAGTGTCCCAGAAGTAGGAGGTGAACCGAAGCCTGAAGTAGAACCAAAACCGAAAACCAAACCACAGTCAAAGTCTGGAGACGACGAATATATATTGGAAGATATTCAAAACTCTAATCCAGAACCACAGCCTGAAAAACCAATCCTTTCAACTGGTTTATTATTCCTCGATGACGATGAAGAACTTTTGATTAGTGATTCACTTATTCCCAGCATGCAAACATTTGCTAAAATGACTCCGGAAGGCGAACCAACTCCTGGTCCAATTTTGTTTGGATTTGAAGACGATGATTGGTTGCTAGGTGATGCGTACGACTTGGATACAAAACCGAGAGGTGACGCAAAACCGGAGGGTGAGCCAAAACCGGAGGGTGAGCAAAAACCGGTAGGCGAGGCCTGGAATGATCATGATAATAATTATGACAAGAAAGACAAGTCAAAACATATTTCTGAAAACAAAAACAAAGACAGCGAGATGAAAGAAAATTCAAAACCAGAACCAGAGCCAGAAAAAAATACAAAATTAAAAATACCAGAAAATCCGGCTCCAGAATCGAAAGACATATATAAAGGAGGCGACAATAAACACACCGGCGGCCCTGAACCTGAACCAGAAACGAAAATAAAACCAAAGAAAGATCCTAAACCGGCAGGCGAAGTTTGGAAAGAGCACGGCGATATTGAAAAATCGAAACCTGATACAAAGCCTCACGAGAAATCAAAACCTAAGCCCGCGATTACTGCGGATCCCGAAGACAAAGATGATAAAAAGTATCCAGGCATGTCTAAAGTAGATGGAGGTATGAAAACTGATCCAGAACCAGAACCAGAGGACAAAATGCAAAAAGATTATGAAAACAATAGCGATATGATGAAATCACATGAATATGTGGATTCTGACTCAAGGCCCGAACCAGATATGGACAAAATGAAATCAGATACGGAAGCAAAGGCAAACACAGAACAAGACAAAACTAACAAATATGATGGTGTAAATAAACCCTCGCCCGAAGGAAGGCCGATGCATCTAAAGCCACTCGGATTAAACGCTTTGAAAAAATGCAAGAATCCAATGTTTGATATACCTATGGGTAAGATGTTGTTTATATTTTCCATACGTAATTCTATGCAGGAATTTCCAAGTATATGAATAAGAAAATTGAAGAGGTATACTATTTGAAATTGTATTTTGAGTTATATAAACTGTGAATGTAAGTTGCAATTAGAATGAGTATATTAATTCTAAAAAAGATCAACGTCTGCTAGATTGTAAGCATTTCTATATTTCAAAGTATTACTTTACGATTTGATTTTTCAACAAGCGCCGTGCTAAAAATAACCATTAATATGCTTATTTTCCCTCTCCATATAAACACATACAGATTAAAATCGTAATACAAACCCTCACACCCAATGAGAGGGTGTGTACTGTGTAGCCCACCGGTTCACAACCAGCCATAGCCAACGATTGGGCCACAGAAACAATTTCAGTTGGGTCGTAAACTCGTTAAAATTTACTAGAGTTATTGATAAATTAGTTAAGAGTTGATTGTAGTAGCAATGAATCATGATGCTGTTTTTGCTACTAACTGGTAATTATCAATAAAGTGAAGGAATCTACTTTATAAAAAGATTTTTTTATTGTTTATTTTTGTAGTTTTTTCATTGTATGAAAAAGTTAATGGGCTACAACATATCTTGGGCAACAAAAGTGGGCCACAACGTTATTAACGCTTTTTTCTTAAATATCCTTATAGCCTTTCGGGCTTGGATATCCTATGTTACTTGGACATGTTTTACTAAGATCAAAACTTTTCATCAAAAAATTATTTTTTCAGGTGCCACAACCTCATTTGAAAGACATGATTTTGGAGCTTGGCGGAATAATACAAGCGGCGACCTGATGTGGCTGCCCAATATGGGGAAAACACCTTCACCAAATACCGGCCCGGATTGGGCATTTGATGGACGTAAGTTAAACAGAAATGATTTCAAACTTAACGATTTAAAATATCCTGTTTGTTTTATTATTTAGCCCAGAACTTCATATTTTCATTATATTACGTCCTCTCATTTTCTCAATGGAAGCGCTGCTCTTTTGAGTTGGTCTTAACTTTCCCAAGATATTCCCAAGTCATTCAACATTGTTATCAATTTACGGTGTCGTAAATTTACCTAAGTTCGGCATCCAAGTTGTCTTATGCACTCAAATTATTTTTACATCGTTAACAGAGAATTATCTCTACATGGAAGGGAGCAGACCTGCAAAGTACGGACACAAAGCGATTCTGAAAGGACCCAAAGGCTTGCGTGGTTGCTTTTGTATTCGTTTCGCGTGCCACATGATGGTCGATCCCAAAACAACCATCGCACTGCTTGTGAACGGCGAAACTGTAAATTCTAACGGATTTTCTCATATGGGATGGCAGGAAATGGTTGAAACAGTGGATATGCCAGGGGAATCTATGGTAAGATCTTTTTTTGGACATCATACAATATAATCCTTATTTTATAAATAATATAGGAAGACAAAACTTAAAAATACTGATCTAAATACAACTAAAAAATCAAATAGAGGAATAATTATATATGAATTTTACTAATCATAATCCCAATTTCTAACATCTTTTGAATTTTAATAATTTCAGATTGAAATCGTTGCCACAAGGGGAACAACATTTCGGGGGGATGTAGCAATTGATAACATCAGGGTAACGCCAGGAATGTGCATCGAGGACATGTAAAGACAACACTTACTATTGTTGAATCAACAATGTACGTCGTTTAATTTGTGATTAAGCCACGTCACATGTTTATAATTTTTACAAACCATGACCTGGCCAAACTATGTCACATAAGGCGATTTTTATTTTCACCCGTTTTTTCAATGATATTCTCTTTGATAACGGAAATATGACCTAAATATCTTCCAAACCACAACGATTTTGGAATATAACAAATCCGATTCTTTATTTGCATAAATTTGGACGTCCAAGTACACACTTGTTGTTATTGCGCGCTGAATCCTCATTAGATTTTGGAAACAAGGGTGCCCGAACAAGAGCAACTTTAGAGTTTATAAAATTAAAATATGATTACGTATAGTATTAGTTTTCACACAATCTGCAAAAACAGCATATTATGTCCGCATTGTTTTAGCACCAGCTATTTTGCGTCGTATTTACATCGAATTCTTGTGTACGGGATTTGTGTGATAAAATAAGTTCTTTGTTTATTTCTAAATATATTTTACTCGAAATTATCGATTGTGTGCTTCGTACGTTAACATATAATCAGTGATTCCAAGATAGCTAGCTCTGACGGGAGATATTGACATTGTAGACACAGAGGTCGGGAATATTTTTGGTCAAGAGAGCCATAAAAAGAAGGCATATTCTCAGTTGCATTTCCGTTCGAGCCATATAACGTTTTTTATCACCTAATCATGTTTTAAATTGATTTACTCAAAATTCAACACATACAATGTCTCAATATTCATTTAATGTGACTTCTGATGCTGCATATTGTCACTGCGGGACCTGAAATCTAGTTGATACTAAGTGAGGTTAAGTTTCATCAGGTGTTGACTGTACGGTTTCATCTGTTGAACGAAATCGTTGGTAGAACAAGACTGAGTTGTGTCCATATTTTGAGATTTCTATTTTTTAATGTTGTGAGGTTTTAAACTACGCTCTTTCAGATGCACATAACCTTTTCTCTTAAAACTGTATAGTTTAGAACAAGGCTGGCCAATAATTTTTGCTATCGGGCCACTTTGAATATTCCAAATGCAGGGACGGCGGGCTCAGTAAGGTCAACCCACATTGCGCTTCTTTATTGTATTTGATTGCACATTTAAATAAAACAAAGTACTTACATCTAATATATTTTTTAAAAAATTTTATTCGAAGCACAATTGTCAAAACATAAATCTCACGATATCGAGAGAACACGCAGGATCAGAGAAACGGCGCACTTTGCCTAACAATGCCCAATTCAATCATTAACGCTGAAGAGTGAGTAACAATGAGGAGTTAGTACCATTAGGAACGGTGGCCAAACTTCGGGATTCATGCAACCTTGCTGGTATCATGGTATTTTTAACGTGAACAGGGTCGAGGAAAATTTTAAATCATCGGCAAGCGTTAAGATATGAAAAGTTTTGAAAGCACTGCTATAAAATAGAGGAAAGATCGGGCCCAAAAATTCCAGCCAGACCCGACCCAGGCCCGTGGGTATTAAACCCGACCCGAAACGAGCCCGACTAATTAACTGAATTTACAGGCCCGAGCCCGAAGCAAATTCGAAATTTTATATTTTGTTCAGGAATTCAATGAATTATCATTGCAAGAGTTTAGTACAGTTTGAGTCGTGTTGATGAGGCAACTTCTGTGTTTTTGACCGGATCTGGTCATATTTAAGATTTCTTGCTTTATTGTTTTCAACTTAATCCGCGGTTGCTTTGACAAAATATAAATCTGAACTCCGAAATACCCTCGCAATCCGCGGAGATAAAAAATGTGAGGTGAAGTGCTAAATTATCTTTATTCTTTTTTGCGTTTTTTTCTTGCAACACTGACTTTAATACACTTTAAATTACAGTTGAAAAAAATCCTACCTCTGCGCTAAAACATTAAATAAATGGAAAAGGTCTACACTGAAAAGATAATTAAATACAGAGATGTACTCTTGTGGATACAAAACGAATTCTTTCTCGGATATGAGTCTGTATAGCGGGATCACCTTGCGGGGTCGGTTCCAGAAAAAATTGTCACTGTTAAATTCTAGAAGAAGAGCGAAAAATCATTTGTAGTTGTTTCTGGGACCTCGCGTCATATGCCACGCAAGCCTCAAATATAGGAAAATATGTAACGAGAGTTCCAGTCCAAAAACGAAAGAAGCACAAAAAAACTCCATCACTGACAAGAAAAAACAAATGACACGTCTGTATAGCCTGTTTAAGCCAAGCTCAGATGAAGAATAAGTGCGGGTTTGCTAAAAGTTTTATCTATGTTATATCTGAGGCCAGCGTAAAGAACATAATTTTATTTGGAAGTTGTCTTAAAGTTATTTAGAATTGTTCAGCTGACGCTTGCAGTTTTTCGTTTGAATAAAACACTGTAATGATCAGAATAGGCCTATTCATCACAACTGCTGTGAGATATGCATAAGTTTTCAGGAAAGATTCAGCACTGTAAAGTTTAATTCAGAGTTTTTCATCTAGTTAATAGGCTTCCTTTCCTCCTAAGATGAACTATCACAATTAAGACCAAATTCTTTAGAACTGTAAGCGTGGGGTACGAACCAAATGTAACTGATGATAGGTTTTCCCCAATGACGACAATAGAAAAGACCTTGTGGAATGAAAAAGCTCAAAATAGTTGATATAGTTCATTTTGTCTACGTACATGCATTTTGTTATCGTTTATAGTATAAAATGCTCCATATGATAGTGTTTACTAGGTTTTACCTAATTGAAGAATATAATTATGTTGTCTCAAGTCACACCAGCGACAAAAATAAAAAATTTAGTGCAAAATAGACTTATGTGTTAAAAAATAAACAAAAAAAATGCGAAAAAAAAATATTTCAGAAAAATGCAACAACAAAATTAAACAAGAAATTGTTTATATATATATACAAAAATAATTTCTCTGTCAAAAATTTAACCGTGAAAAAAACTTTGAAGGACATTTTCTCAGAATGTTAAAATTGGACATAATCAGTCTTATTCTACGCCAGCGATATGCCGTCACCAAAAGATCCATATATGGCTCCCCAGCCATGGGACCATGACCACTGCTCTAGTCTAGCTAAAATATGTTTCAAATGACCTGACTTCTGTTTTTTTTTTTGTAACTTTCTAAAACTTGTTAGTTTATGCTTAATATTTCATGTGCATGTAACGCAAAAAATATTTTGCTTGGAATACCATTTAGTGGTTCATTCATTACTTATTGTTACACTTATCTTTTTATAAATTTGCAAATATTTCATTTTTCTTATAAAACATTCTTTTCGACAAAGCTCATGACATGGTCGGAATGTATCATATTGTATTGGACCAAAAGATTGGATGTAAATTTAACTCCGTACAGATTTTATCTTAACTAGTCATTCTTTTCACTCATTTTTCGTGTATTTTTCCATTACTGTGTTTATTTTTCTGTGGTAATAACAATTTCCCAATTTCACTCGAATCTCCTGGCCGTCACACTTCAAAAACCAAATGGTAGAAGTTGATGCAGCAAAGAATGAATTTAAAGTAGACTAATATCAAATTCTTACTGTATTTTAAAACAGTGATTCCCAAAGTGGGCGATATCGCCCCCCAGTGGGCGAAAACTATACAGAGGGGGGCGAAAAATTCGAGGGGGCGATAGGGGGGCGATTTCGCGGGACCTGTTTTATGTTCGGCGCACTTAATTCTGTACATTGTGTGCATTTGCAGACTTGAATCATGTGGGCGATTATCATACGCGAAAGGATTTCTGAACTCGTCTTCGCAGTAAGGTACGTTAGTTTGCGTATCCCAGTGGTCGGCAAAATACGACCGGAGTAAAATAATCTGGCCCGGGAAGATTCACTGAATGGACCTTTCCCCGACCTTTGACTGTGGAAAATTCTTCCCATACTTTACCATTTTAAAATTGTTGGTGCTTATTTTAAAAGAGTGGTTCCACGAGTTGTTGCCTGTAAAATGGGGTATTTGTTTCAAACTATCTTTCTAATACACACCATTCAACAATCTGTTTTTAAAAGTACCGATAAAGAATTTTAGCCTAGTCTATCACCGCTATCTCTACACTAATTTTTGATTGCTGTATTTAAACTGAAACTCATAGAAAGACAAAGTAATCATTGACTTATTTGATTTATATTTTAATTTCCAAAAAACAACTAAAAACTAACGAATATAATTCAAAAACGCGAAAATGAGGTAATAATCACGACCACGCCTGAAAATCTGTCTGAGTGAGCGTGTCTGAGCGCTTGAGCGGATGCGAAAGGCGGCATTGTTGCGTTTTTTGCATCTTGCTGATTGGCCAATGTCACGAAGTAAACAAGGAAGTCTATGCCCGGGGAAACATCCAAACGGCGGTTTTGACGATAATTTTTTTTTATTTATAATCTACGCTCGAGGAGTAAATAACATTTTTTTACGTAACAGAATTTATCGTGAGAAACGTTTGGACTAAATTTTATTATATCCTAAAAATTCTATTGAACAGCTACTCGTTTAACGAGCCTACAATATAATTATAATTAGACGAATGGAGACACGAAGAAAAGTTGATGCTGAGGGCAGGGGTTCAATAGCGCAGTCAATATTCGAATATATTGCAAAGCAAAAAAGAAATAAAATTCATATTCTATTCGAGAGATTCATCACTGCTTAATTTTTGTAAGAATGTATCTTCTTAAAGAAAATCTTTATCGAAATTCCACAAATCATGCGTAAATATTCACTTCGATGTTTGGAAGTACATATTTGTGCGAACAAATATTTTTGAAAATGAACATTACAAAGAACAAGCAAAGAACTGGGATTAGTGATTCCCATTTAGAAAATGTTTCAATCTTGGCGTCGTAAAGCTATCCAGCGTGATGCAGCAAAAAAACAGTATCACATTGAATGTCATTGAAAAATTATTTAATAAGACGACTGAGTTGAGTTCACGAATTGTCGCAGTTTTCGCGCGCTGTTCCTTTTTTAACTTTCAAAAAATATATGCGACCCGCAAAAGCCTAGCAACCCTGAATTTTGTCCTGCGAGCGACATAAAATTTGCCGAAAACTTGGGCCGTAGCCGATAGTCGGTCACGGCTTCTTCTACATCCGAGTCCATGAATCCAAAAACAAATGGCTGGGTAATTATGGACTGGTGATCGGACTGGAGGCCGTGGTAGGATGAGGAATCGGGGATGAATTTTACCGAAGTATTTTGGTGCAGGTCATCAGGTTGTACGAATGAATGAGATGTACGAAAATCATTATTATAAGTTTGGAAAAATTAACTTTGTTTTCATTATTTTAATGTGAAATGGGGTGAATTTAGGAAGTGAAATGCTATAAGGCAAGAGTACACGGCGGTTTTTGAGGAGGTGAAACCCTGGATTCTTTCATTTCCGACCTATTATATGGTGAAAAAGGGGGTTTCAGCCGTGCTACTATTGCTATCAAAACAACGAAGTTGACTTTCCACCAGTAAACGGGGTAATTTTAGAAATAATAAAAAAAAAAACTCGCCGAAGAACACCA